TCTACTGAAGGGAGAACACCAATCTTCCTTCCATCTATCTGAAACATTAACAGATCAATATGATTCTGAAGTAATCGCTATTCATATTCTTATCACATGTACCAGCAGTCACTTTATGACATAACAAATAGTCTTCCAGGCTATAGTTTGTAATCAGAGTAACGTCGTAACTGCACAGAGCATTGGAAGCTTTAACAATCACATCCGTTCTCTATGCATGAGCACCCAAATTGAACAAGGTATAGAAAGAAAAATAGTGATACATCAAAGTATTGGAGATGATACATTCAGTATATAGTATCAGTGTATCACACAATGCATGCTAGATCAACATTGAAGAAATTACTGTCTTAAATATTGACATACAGAAAAGTAGAATTGAATAAAAAAGCCAAAATAATACATTGATTAAGAAATGGAAATGTGCCATTTTCTTATTAGTTTTCTAGTAAATCCTTGAAGAAAGACAAGAAAGATGGCACTATTTTCAATGACATGTCACTATTCGGCAACCCTCATGTGAAATTTTCATCGATTTCAGGTAACTTTAAATTTTCTTTATTTATTTTGTGAAGAATGACTGATAGGGAACTATGGCTCGCTACTCATACCGTACAAACTAAGTGAATCGACATGTGTGTTATCTTCTCATCAAATTCAATAAAGAAGATAGAGAAGACAGCATGGAAGAAGAAGAAGAAGAAGACGACGAAAACGGTAATGGAGTCAAAAGTGCATTCGAGTCAAGTTAAAGTCAAGGTAAAGTAGATCTTAGTAGAGCTTTGGAAAGTCGGGGTCAAGTAAAGTAAGGTAAAGTAAGGTAGGATAAGGCAAGATTCATGCTTAAGCGAATTTCAAGTTTCAAGTGGAGTTTATTTTAAGTTTAAGTTTTCAAAGTTCCGTAAATGAAAAGTTCAAGTTGAAATTCAAAAGTTCAGCTCCAAATTTCTAGATTGAAGTTCAGTTTATGTTTTCCATTTTTATTATCATGTTTTGCGTTGAACGTTTTGTAGCAAGCTTCTAGCATACAATGCTCCAAGCTTGAAAGGAAGTGTTAAAACATAAATAATAGGTTAAATCATGGTTATAGAAACCATAGAATTTAGATACCCTAGTGTCTAGTCCCTTATACTTGGGAACTGTTATCTTCCTGTGTGAATAGTGTATTAGCATTCAGAAAATATGAAGTTGTGACTCAAAATATCATATCAATAAAAGTAGTAGATTGTTAGTTAAGATGAAATACCTCATATCCAGATCTTTCCTTTACAGCTTTTTCTGCAGCCTCCTTTGTAGCAAACCGTAAAAAACCAAAACCCTGCCAAAAATATACAAAAAATCAAATGCAAAGATGCGAGACAATAATATTGAACTTGTTCTTTATCTCAACTTCACCCCTACAGTCCTACGTCCTTATTCTTAGCTGCGTAGATTTGTGTAGAGAAAAAAAAAGAGAAATAATTGCAAATAGATGATAATAATAATAATAATATACTAACCTTCAAGTTGCCACTCTTGTCCTGTACTAGCCGTATTTCAACAATTTGGCCACAAACAGAGAATGCCTGAAAAGAAAAGGCAAGTTTTGTTGTACTTATCTGTTCATGATAACAATTGCTAGAACATACAACTATATAAGGTGAGTGCCTCATCTCAAAAGATCTGCTTGCCTATGACTACAGCTACAACAACACAATCAACCAAACATTACCCTAGTGCCGCAAAGGCTCCCAGCTACAGTGGGGCTGCTTATGACTACAGCTATCTTCCAAATATAATCTAATTGTGCCATATACTATATAATGCGTATATAATAATTCTAATATAAGTTGCCTCTTGAACTTTCTAAAGAAGCGGCACAGAAATGATAGATTTAAAATAAACCAAGTAACCAACCACTTATGGGCAATTAAAATAATACAACCACAAAGAGATAAGCAAATTATAGTAATGCCAACTAGAGTTGAGTTGCAGACTAGAAGTCTTAAAGAGTAACAAACCTCTCTGATCTTTTCTTCAGTAACAGTACGGGCCAAACCACCAATGAAAACTTCAGAACCTTTAACATGATTCTCTGACATCAGATGATAAGCCATGAAGATGTGATCAGAAACAGGCTTTGATATGTATAATAATAATAACATACGCCTATTCTAGTTTGGGTCACCCAGTCACCCAAGTTAGGGACAAGGTTATTTGTAGGTTACTACCAGTCTCCAAAGAGACTTATACTAAAGTTGACTGATTACATACCAAGTGGGGCTGCCGGTGCTGGAAAATAAAAGCGGATGCGCATATAAACTTAACAACTCGTACATTAGTAACAAACATTACTCTTCTCTTCAGGTTATGCTACAAGTACTAAAGCTGTTATAAAAATCCTTGCAATGCCTACACTTGGCAAGATAGTTTTTCTCATCATATCACCTCACCATTTCATCAATGTTAATTACAAAGGCCACACATAATATGTGCATATGTATTGTAACACCTTTTGTACTTATGGCACTATTCTCTTCTCATTATAATAGTTATTATGAGAAACCTAGACCTGGACAAATGATAAAATTCGGGTGCCCTATTATCACATCCTTAAAACATACAGTCGTCTAAGAGTGCTTTGCACAATAAAGTTTTCAAAAACATACTCTGATCGGTTTGAAGATGCTCAGTAGACTGACTCATCTGCAACAGAAATAGAGAGCTATGAAAGCAGTTTCCAACAAAGAGCATATTGGTTTTATAAAACACAAAAAAAAAAATCTCCAGAATAATTCCAATACTGACATTTTCATGAACTTAGTGATCTTTAATTTCTATTAGAGCATATAATTATAATTTATACTTCAAGGACCCTTTTCCATTTGAGTCCTTTCCTTTTTCCTAGTCCAATATTATTTCCTTTTCCCGAAAAGGGATGATTTTTTCATATTACTTGTATTTCCTCTAAACAAATCTTTAACCACGCAATTTTAAATTTCATTTAAATCAAAGAGGGGCAGAAAAGAACGGGGAGTAAAGATATTTTGTCGGCGCCGGAAATACATATAAGGAGGTGAATTACCAATTCGGGTGAGGAATTGGAGCTTCTAATGCAGTGGGTCAGTGGGCGAGATTTGACGTGACCCTAAAGATCCAGCAAAATACCAGTACAATACTGTCCGAGGTTGGATGCGCCGACGTTATTTCCTCTTGAATCCGGTTAAGACGTGTTTTTGCAAGGGAGAGAGCTGGGCAAAACAGCAACCTGACGTTCTAACCGAATAGTAGATGTTTACTCCTCTAGGTAGGTGTCTTTGCCTCTTTGGTTAAACTCGAGATAAGGGTCAGTTTGGTCCTCGAAGTTGCAAAAAAAAGGGTCAAATAAGTCCTTATATAGAAGATTCTGTCCGGACGTGCCATTTGAGGTGGCTCCCGATGGAATTTTTTGATGAAATTTTTTGAGCATCTTATTCATTAAGTCTAGTTTACTCATACCAAATTTCAGATAAAAATTCAATGAGGAAGACATTCAAATGAATTCGTGAAGATAACTGTGTCGTTAAAAGCGTTGTTATCTTCAAGAATTCATTTGAATGTCTTCCCGATTGAATTTTTAGCTGAAATTTGGTATGAGTAAACTAGACTTAATGAATAAGATGCTCAAAAAATTTCATCAAAAAATTCCACCGGGAGCCACCTCAAATGGCACGTCCGGACAGAATCTTCTATATAAGGACTTATTTGACGCCTTTTTTGCAACTTCGAGGACCAAACTGACCCTTTACTCCTATTTTTTTAGTTGGTGTGGTTAATTTATAGGTGTCTTTCATTTATAGATTTGGTGATATGTATTTTATAATTGTCGAAATCTTATCTATGGTCAAAAAAAATTGTCGAAATCTTATCTGATTTATTTAAATTTGATTCAATTTGTTCTATTTAAGTCTGGTCTAATCTTCATGTTGATCTTGATTTTGGATTGAAAACTGTTTCAGTGAAAACATCCTTAATCAGAAGTACAAAATAAAGCGAGTAGGATTTAAATATATTCACGTCGGTCGGATTGACTACGGATGTTTTCTTTTGGACTGAGATTTGCTGGTCTGGTCCGGTCTGATCTGTTTAAGTATGGTCTGGTCTGAACTAGTCTGGTCTGGTCTGAACTAGTCTGGTCTGGTCTGAACTAGTCTGGTCTGGTCTGGTAAACGTCTGGTCTCTGTGTATTTTATAACTAAGAAATTCTGGTCTGGTCTGGTCTGATCTGTTTAAGTCTGGTCTGGTCTGATCTGTTTAAGTCTGGTCTAATCTGGTCTGGGACTGAAAACAGTCCAAAAGAAAACATCCTAACATAAGTTACGGCTCCTAACTCCTAAGCAGATTTAGGATTTTGGTTCCGAGTGTTCAAGCTCCTTCTAGAATTAAAACTTCGGGCATCAATAAATTATTTGCCATATATTCTTAAATACTTTTTAAAAATTCAAGTGTTCAAGAGAACACTTTGTATCTGAGAACGGCTTTAGCACAGAAGATTGTATCTTAAGCTCATATAGAAGTACGGCTTTAGCACAGAAGATTGTATCTTTAGCACAGAAGATTGTATCTTAAGCTCATATAGAAGTGTTTTAACTATTCATACGGTTGCAGCATTGTTCTTGACAAATGACTAGTTCCATGCTTTACTTTAATGTATTGCAAGTTTAAATCCTCGTCAAGTGTTGTAGGATAGAGAATTATGAAATCAATTGTTCAAGAGAATTACCAAGTATATATCTGTCATTGCTTAACTTTAAAATGTTATAACTTTTAATGAATTAAGGCTCACTCTTTGTTTACTCTTGGTGCAGTGCAACCCAAATTACTAATCCGCCCGTAGATGGGAGCTATGTGTTACACCTCAAACGAAATCAAACCCAATTAAAGCTAAAAACCCACATATCTTAAAAATGGTCTAACTTGATCTGAATTTCTCTATCTTGAGACAAAACTTCAAATCCTAATAAGGAGTATAATAACCAAGATGAGTATCAGTAATTCAATTAGATAACTATAACCTTTCTTTGTGGAGGCCTGTTTCAATTTGGTAATGTATTCATTATAGAGAATGATGACAATCACTAAAGTACTAAATCCGCCCCGTAGATTTCATAGCCTCCCTTTTTGGAGGCCAATCATGAAAAAAGCACAAACTCTTCATTGTAGAAGGGAACACACACTCGTTTGTGCTAAAGTGAGGGCTTTTTTCCAAAATTTTGACCAAGTTCTGCACAATCAGGAACTTATTGTTTCATATACACAAATGAATATTGATAACATGACCAATAGGCTGAACTGCGGGTTTTTGAACAGCCATCCATCCCCTTTCACTCATGATGCACAAACATATCGTCGTAATTCCAAGACATACAACTTTTCATCTTCTTGTGTTGAATGTGGAATTTTGGCTCTTTTGGTACTGTGGGGGGCTTTTCAGACCTAAAAACAAAGAAAATCCAAACTAGAATCACCCCTAATATTATTAGCATGTCGTTTTAACCGTAGTAGCCAAAACTATTAAAATACCTTCTAGGAATAAAAGGCCTGTCAAAGTAGGGCATGGGTTGAGCCTTTGGAACAAGCTCCTTTCTCAGTCTTCTTATTTCTTCTTCCTCAGCCAACTAAGATATAGGAGTAAAAAAATAGAAATAAGCTTAATCCTTATTCTAACAAAGTGAGAAGTGGAGAGTTTGTCATGATTTTACCTTCCTTAGTCTATCTCTTTCCATTCTGTATTGCTCAATAAGGTTCCATTTCTCTGACACCTAAGATAGGCAAGCAAAGAGCAAAGAAGTACCAAATCAATCTTCACAAACTAAACTGTGTAGAGAACAATAATTTTCTACCTCAAATTTTGGCCAAGGTAGGAGGAATGGGGGATACAGGCACAAGTGATACAGGCAGAAAGGAATGTTTTTAAGGGTATTGTTTAGATCCCATAAAATGCTAGGGAAAGAAAAAAGAAGCTATGAAAAAATATTTTCTTGTGTTTGGTATTACCTCCTACAATGTGAAGAAAGGTGAAATTTGATTATTAAAAACATTTTTCATAAATTTGTATTTCTTAGTCCTTATTTTATAAACAAAAAACGACAACAAATAAATAAATAAAACGACAAAATTATTTTTGATAAGTTCATTAAGTTTGAACCTATATTTTATTTTCCTTCTCATTTCTGAGTTCTACTAAGAGTAGACAGGAAGGAATGGGGGATTGGCGACCTATCTTCCTGTGCAATGTTGCCTACAAAATATTTGCCAAGGTGCTTACAAATAGAATGACAGGAATTTTGGATGGGATTTTTTCAGAAAAGCGAAGCGCTTTTGTTCCGGGAAGATCCATTGTGGATATTGTGATGATTGCATTTGAGACTAGGCATTATCTAAAACACAAAAAACATGGAAAAGAAGGGTATGTGGCTTTTGAAGCTCGATATGAGCAAGGCTTATGACCGGGTGGAGTGGCGGTTTTTACGTGCTGTAATGGATAAGCTTGGGATTTGAACGAAAATGGGTGGATGCAATATTAAAATGTGTTTCAACAGTTTCATATTTTATTCCTTTCGACAAAGATGTGCTCATACCTATTACTCCAAGGAGAGGATTGCGGCAGGGGGGTCCCCTATCAGTCTATCACCATATCTTTTTATCTTAGTTGCGGAGGGTCTTAGTTCATTTATTAGCAGGAAGGTTGAACTGGGAGTGTTAAAAGGAGTAGCCGTTGCGACAAAGATGTGCTCATACGGTCATACCTATTACTCCAAGGAGAGGATTGCGGCAGGGGGTCCCCTATCAGTCTATCACCATACCTTTTTATCTTAGTTGCGGAGGGTCTTAGTTCACTTATTAGCAGGAAGGTTGAACTGGGAGAGTTAAAAGGAATAGCAGTTGCAAGATATAGTTTCATGTTTGTAAGGCAAAGCCAGAAGAGTGTGCTGTGGTGAAGGAAATCCTTTCTCATTATGAAGAACACTCGGGCCGAGCAGTTAACTATAGTAAGTCCAATATAATTTTCAGTGGCAATGTTGAAGCTGATACAAGGGATTTAATGAGGGAGAAAGAGGGAGATTCTAGATTTTTTAAAGAGAGAATCTTGAAAAGATTCCAAAGCTGGAATAATCAGTGTGTATCTAAAGCAGGAAGAGAGGTGTTACTCAAAACAGTCATTCAAGCAATCCCTACGTATGCCATGAGTGTCTTTCTTTTGCAGGTAACCTTTGCGAGGAAATTGAGAAATTAATGAATGGATATTGGTGGAGAGGTAATGATTTATTAGGTAAGGGTATTCGTTGGAAAAAGTGGCCGGATCTATGCCATGTTTTCGAAGGTTAAGAGAAATTAAAGTGGCCATGTTAGGAAAACAGGCATGGAAATTGGTGACTGATCCTGAATCGTTAGTTGGCATATTTAAAGCATGATATTTTCCAAACGCTTCTTTCATGGAAGCTAAACTTACAAATAATTCTTCTTTTGTGTGACGGAGTATTATGGAAACCCAAAAGGTTATAGTTGCTGGAACGCAAAGTTGGGTAGGGAATGGAAGGACAGTAGGAGTCTGGGGCACTGCTTGGTTGCTGGGACCAGGTTCAGGGGGGATTACGTCCATGACGCCAGAGGGTATTAAAGATATGAACATAGCCTCGCGATTGACAGAATCTGGGAAGGAATGTAATACGAGCAGGATTAGAGACCCCCTGAGGATGATTGCAGAGGAATCCTTAGTATTCCCCTAAGTAGAAGAGAAGTGGCAGATGGGGTTTTTTGGGTTGATGAGCAGAGGGGTCAGTTCTTGGTTAAAAGTGGCTACAGAGGGTTGGTTGGGGAGGTCTCTGCAGGGGAGTGGATGGGGGTGGACGTGGGTTTGGAAGCTTCATATCCTGCCCAAGGTTAAGCATTTTGTTGGCAATTGATAGCAAGAGCTCTTCCTACTGCAGATAAGCTAAGGCAACGAAGGGTGGAAGTTGTGGCAACATGTAAAGTATGTGAATCCAAAGATGAATCAGCTAAACGTCTTTTGCAAGATAGTATCAGAGCACAACAAGTGTGGTCTAGAATGGGGAGCAGATTTCAGAAGGCAGGGAGTGATTTATAATGTCTCTATGTGGTATCTGGAAGCAGCAGAATAATCTTGTTTGGAAAAATGAAAGTTTGTCAAGCAGAGGAGTAATCGTGGGCAGGGCTCGATGTGGGTTGGCGTGCAGCAAAACAAAGATAGGGCAGTTTAGCAGAGAACGTTAAGGAGTCTACGAGTATATGGCAAAAGCCGGGGGGAAGGTTGATTAAAATCAACACTGATGCGGCCTGTAAATCTGGAATGGGGTCGGGGGGTCGGGCATGGAGCTGGGTAGCCCGTGATGGAGAGGGCGAATTTTTACAAGCAGGGGGTGAGGTAGTGTAGGCAGGCTGGTCAGTGAGAGAAACTGAAACAGATAAGGTGCGTGAGGCGATGACATGGGCATTGGGAAGTGGCTGGACAAAAGTGAAGATTGAGACAGATGCAGCTATAGTTGTTTTGGGTCTCCAAGGAGATCTGGGGACGTCTTATTTTGATGTTATTCTTGAGGACATTAGGTATATGATGAACAACAACATTAGTGTTGAGTTAAGCCATTGTATATGAGCGGCGAGTTGCGTTGCTCATACTCTAGTTAGAGCGAAGGTATATATGCCAGGTTGTCATTTTATTTACCCAGAGCCACCAGATTGTATTAATAACTTTTTGACTAGGGACTGTTTAGATTAATGATATTGCAGCAATTTTACTTTAAAAAAAAAACTAATAAGTGAATCACCAAAGTTCCTCTAGTGAAAATTGAACCAGTTTTACCTGATAGTCGAATTCAGCCCGCTCAACAGCCCTGATATCACTATGCAACACCAAATCTATAGGCCTTGTGTTTTCTTTGACCTGGGGCTTTATCAAACGCTGAAAAGATAAACCTCAATGATTCATCAAGTATTTCATATTTGTGTCCAGACTAGACATCAGGTACTTGGTCAGCTTAAAGAAAATGCCAAATACTACCTCCACCCCCCATAAACAAGTTATGTTTTAAACACATTTTTGTTCCAAAAAAAAGGAATCCACTTTGATTTAAAGAAGCTGTTTTTCATATAATTGTCAACAAAATACCAAAAAGAGATAGAACAAACTACATAGGATAAATTTAGTTAAAGGAACAAATATATTCAGTATATAATTATAAATCGCGATCTATGACAACTGTAATTTACCACAAATTAAAAAAGTGTTTAGGAGTTCATTTGTGTGAACACCAAGAAATTATTTATGTTCAACTATAAGTTTTGCACAACCAAATAACTCTTTCACGCAACATAATCCCTAATTAAGTTTTAAATATACCTCTGGCTCATCCGTCGTCCATGGAAGACCTTGTGCAACTGGTATGCGCAGCTTTTCTTCTTCTTCCATAATTTCTTTTACTTTTTTGAAAAACTCTTCTTCTTTATACTTCCCCCTTTCCTGCAGAAATATGGGAGAGCCGGTATTTTAAGGAATAGTTATTTGATAAAAGTAGACTACTGATGAAATGAATATAAAATCTGACGTTTTTTGTCCATCCGTAAATACCCCAAACTACACATCATCACAGCTCAGATACCTACGGAATATAGTGATACAAACCTCAGTTCTGAGTTTAAAGGGTTTCTGGGAGGTTGGTGCTTTAAGTTTCCCTCTCTTGCACTGCCTTCTAGCATGAGTCCTCGAGGATTCGGCACTCTGTTGAATTCACAATGCATATATCAGATCACACAAATGAACTCCTAATCTTACATACTTGAAAATGATGAAATGAAATCTGCAAACATTACTTTTCTTCTGATCATTCTTGCACCAGCTGAAATCCTGCTCGAAATGCTAAAGCATGAAAGAGACAGAAGAGACAAATTAAGTTTGAAAAAAAAAACTTAAAGGCGCTTCGTATACACATTTCAACTAAGTATCTGTTCACCAACCTTCCTTGGCTGCTAAATGAAGAAGCCAGGCGTGGTGCTAAGCCTAAGCTCTCGGAAGTGAGGAAATACTCAGATGGACAGAATGAAGATGAAGAGGCATGTGCCTCATGAGGAATCGGAGGGGGTAAACCTGGCAGTGCCCATTTCAATCCCTTGTTCGTCTCATCTTCTTCAGCCTCTTCTGAATCCTTTGACTTCCGAATTGAAAGAAGCTTCTCGAACGCCTTCACCAAGTGCTTCACTCTTCCCGAACCTGGTTCAGGTACATTTTCTCTAGCCTCTTCCAGCAACCTGTCCCTCGTTCTCTTGATAGTTGACGCACCCATTTCAGCAAACACCTCGTGCTCAATCGACTGAAGTTTATTCATGTAAGTCATAGGAGAAGAACAGTCCGTTTTAACTGAGATCCCACCACAGCCTTCAGAATCTCCTAGGTCTCTAATTTCGTGATTTTGTTCACTCTCTTTACCTTCATCTCTCCTAATCTCAGCTTCACAGAGTATCCTCAAATTTTCGTCATCTTTATCTTCACGGAGTATCTTCAAATTTTCGTCCTTCTCTTTACCCTCATCCCTCCTAACCTCAGCTTCATGGAGCATCTTCAAATCCTCACGGAAGCTTTCATCACAATCAATTCCACTGCCATTGTTAAAAAATACCTCCTGAGAAGCCCTGAGACTTTCATAAGCAAGACACAAGCACTTCTGCCCACCGCCTCTGTTGCACTTACACTCAAATGACGATGAGGTCAAAGGCTTTGAGTTATCTCTCTTCGTATTCCTCTTGACCACCACAAACCTCCGCTGCCGAATCTTCTTCTGCGGTGAAGGCGAAATCACAGGAGTGGGGTTAAGGCGGTGGTCTTTAGATGCCGATTTTTTAATCTTAGCAGCAGATTTTGAGATCGAAGGAGATTTTGAGAACTTCAGACCTTCAGTGCCGATATTAGGATCCGAATTCTCTGAACTCTTCTTCATGTTGTGGGTTTTAGCTTCTATGGACTTGCTGTTCGGATCCATCATCCAATTCAGCACAATATCTTATCCAAAATAATTGCAGATAGAGGAAGATGAACGAACAGATTATACAAAATATGTGATTATGCTGTTGATGACTGATTATTAGGGTTAGGTTTCATGAGATCGCGCGGAGTAGAAGAGATGTGGGAAGATTTTACGCCAGATAATGTAACGGCTAGTTCCCGATGGACTTCGTTTTGGAGCGTTGGATTATTTTTTTAAAATGCTTCGCATGTTTGGAACGTTTAAATATTGAGATTATGTTGGAGAAGAATGGGAGTGCATTCATTCATTACCGTTATAGTACGATGAAAGAATTCTAAAAATCTCCTCATATTAGTTTGGTATACCTAATTGGTTTAACGTTTTTCTTAATTTAGTTCTGCCAAAATTCACACTTACCTACAGAGTCTAAAGATATTCCATACAAACATTTGGTTTTATTAATGATTAAAGAATTAAAGATTAAAAATTAATGATTAAAGATAAAGATTAACAATATTTTCACTTGGACTTAACCAAATCAAAATAGATCAAATCAGTATTAAAAAGACTAGAATACACCCGAATAGACTTAAACAGGTCAGACCAGACTCTGACAGTTATAAAATATAGAGATCAGAAATTTATCTAGCTAAATCAAACAAGACCAAATCAGACCAGAAAATTTAGCCCAATTAAAAGCATTCTAATTTTGAATAAAGATCACGACACAAAAATGAAAAATGACATGAATATCTCACTTTACCTAAATAACTTAAATTTAATTTTAATAGTCATTCTAAATATTTTAGCTTTTCAAATATGATAAACATATTACCCAAAACAAAAATATGATAAACATGAACGGTACGTCCTGCAGTCTTTCTCTTGCTCGTCGAGAGTTAAGGTTTTTCTCTTGCTTGTCGAGAGCGTTGCAATGCCGCACTTCTGCGGCAAAACACTTTTGTGGATCAGTTTTTCTTTTGCATTTTGAGCTGGAGCAGCGTTGTCCCTTAGTTTACTCAAGTGTTATAAGTATACATTTTTATATATCCATGGTCAAACATCGATGTTGGAGACCGTGAAAGCCCAACTATGAACTTAAATAAGAGACGGAGATAAAGAATTATGTCTACAAAGTATACACCAAGGATGTTTTGATTACACTAAACTCACTGAAGATGTTTAATTTTGATCGGGATCTTATGATCTAGTATGTTTTTTTTTTTGAAAAAAATAGACTTACTTATCATTAATCAAATCATTGGCCAAAGTCGATACAATAAAAGCAGGAGAATAAAACCAAGATTGCGAAGCAGGCAAAGAACAAGCCGCTCTAGCTAACAAATAGGCAGGCTTGTTTGCTGACCGCTTAATATAACAGAATGAAATATTACAAAAGGAATTTATCAAATCCCTAATGTCTTCTCTCAGCAAATCCACCATTGAGAAACTTGAACCGTTCAATATTTATGAAACCGCCCCCGCTGCATCGGATTCGATCTCGACCAACATCCCGCCAAAGTCTTTGAGCCAGCTTAGTGCCTCTCTAATGCCAACCATTTCTGTGCTCAACGGCTGCAAGCGTCTCGGCCACACCTTGGCTGCACCAGCGATGAAATGACCCTCATCATCCCGGAGACACCAGCCTAATCCGCACCAATCCGCCCTGGTTGCCGCATGACGTTCAGTTTCCAAGAGTCGTGGGCTGGTTTGCACTAGGAAGCTCTGATCTGCCGGCTGGCCTGAAGTCTTCTTCTCCGGATAGCTTTCACCTGCGCCTACTTCCGTCCATCAACCGTAGCTCAAGCTTGGTTGACCTGCTGCCGCACCAGTGAAGATTTCCCCTCCCAAACTTGTTGGTTCCGCTCACTCCAAAGCGCTCAGCAGCCCCATATCAGCATCTACAGGTCCTTCGTCTTCTTTATTTTAGGAATTCCTTGTTAAATTGGTCTAAAAAAGAAGTATCATCCCCAGTTGTCCACTGCCAATGAATCTCTCTCAATAAGTCTTGAGCTATCGCACATTATCTAAACAAATGCTCCAGAGATTCAGCGGCAGTTCCATACGATCCACAGAGCCTCGAACAGTCAACTCTTCGAACCTGCAAATTTAATCTCGAAGGAAGATACCCATTACAAACCTGCAAAAAAATTAATTTTAGGTGGAAGTTTAAACTCCCACATAGCAGTCCATTCCAGACCCGAATGACCTCTGAATTTGCCCACCAATTTTCGGTAATAGTTGCGCACCGAGAAAAGTCCGCTTTCCTCCCACCTCCAACACAAAGAGTCCTTTATTGGGCTCCTTTTCAGTGGTATTCCCTGGATGATAGCCGCATCTCTAGCCCCAAAAATGTTGCCAATTAAGTCAAAGTCTCATTCTCTTCGGTTTATGTTGAATAGATTGGCCACCACTGCCTCTTGCAACCCCTCTCACTTCTCCGAAGTAACCCTCGGATTTACTCTATCTGGAAGTCACGGTTCCTCCCAAATATTAATGGAGTGGCCATCCCCCACCCTCCAATAATAGTCTTCCCTGATAATATCCTGAGTATGGAGCAAACTACGCCAGATAAAGGAAGGGTTACTTCCTGGCTTAGCTTTAAGAAAATCACTTTTAGGGAAATATCTTGCTTTAAAAACTCGTCCCACCAATGAATCAGGATTCGTAAAAATTCTCCAGGCTTGCTTAGCTAACATAGCTAAAGTAAAATCTCGGAGTCTTATGAAACCCAACCCGCCAACTTTTTTTGGGACACAAAGGGAAGCCCAATCCTTCCAGTGGATCCCTCTTCCTGGCTTACCCTTCCACTAGTAACCATTCATAACATTTTTTATTTCACGACAAAGATCAATAGGCAGCAAAAAAAACATTCATTGAATAAGTTGGCATGGCCTGATGAATAACTGCCTTCAAAAGGACCTCCCTACTCGCCTTAGATAAAAATTTATTATTCCAATTATTAATACGGGTGATCACTCTCTGCCTGAGGTAGCTTAAAATGTTTTTCTTATTTCTCCCCACCAAAGCAGGCAATCCCAGATATTTCTCATCTTCCCTCGCCAGCCCAACTCCTAATAATTCAATCAGCTCCCTCTGCATCGTCACCCTCCAATATCAAACGAGCATAAATCTCATCCACCTCACTGACCATACTTGGTCGGGTAAAGAAAACTGCTAAGCAATCGAACATGCGTACTTGCTAAACTGACGATCAACGTCGGAGTACAAACCCTAGACTACTAGGGAGTTTTTTTCTATAATTTATTAATCCTTTAATTTACTAATTAACTCAATAGAATATTTTATTGTGATTTCTATTGTGATTGTATGTATAACTAAATTGTGATTTCTATTACCATTTTTCAAGTTGACGAAGTTAATTAATATTAATTGGTGCATTCTCGTACAACACATTCCCGTGCAATGCACGGGTGGATGACTAGTTGTTACCAATTCAAGTGAATGGGAACTTTTAAAGAACGGGAAATTAAATTTATGTTTTTCTCTTAAAAAGTACCAATAATCGGTTATACTAATCAATTTTTTTCACAGGATAGATTTTGTCATATTGATTCAAAAAATTATTGTTAATATCAAAGATGAATTGTGTGCAAATTTAACTTATCTGAAGCAATATAGTATCACAGATGTAAGTGTTTTTACATCGTGATATTTGCTTCAGAGAAGTTAAATTTGCCACCATTGTGATGATAACAACAACCGTACGTCAAGCTTTAGTAAGCAAACTAAATTGTTTTAAGTGAACTTATTAAAACTTTCAAAACATTTTTTTACTTCCGAGGTGGGAATGATTTGTGTCATGTAGTCCTTATCTCCGACTGAAAACTATCATTACGTAATGACATCTAGATAGGTTTGGCTCATATTTAGGTAGTTTTCTGGCGTTGTAGTGTAAAGTGCATGAAAATACATTGCAAATCTCGGACACAAATTCTATTCATTTCAAAAGATCAAAAGAACAATAATAGTTGTAAAATAAGAATATCCAATAAGAAAGAAAGAAATTTTAAAAAGCTGCCATAAAAAAGAGGAAAAGAGAATGGTCACACTTTATAACTAGTGTATAGCCCGGGGCAATGCCCCGGTAGCGCGTCAATTTGATACGGGTTGAGTTAAAATGAAAAGTATTATGTAGTAATATCCATTAATAGATATTGTGAATTATTCATAGGATCCAAAGTTTAATATAATGCCTTTTTACTTTGATCCAACCACAAACAATAATGAGTATATATTAAATTATCAATCATCATATATTATATATTTACTCGTTAGTCTATATCAAGGTTTTTATTGCGGTCACTGCGGTTGCGGTTATTGTGGCCGTTGCGATGCGTATTGCGGCCGATGCGGTGTAATTTATTTTTATATTCAAACGGAATAAGAAAATAATTAGTGTTGATGTTTTGATACGGTCTGATATGGCCCCGTTGCGATTTCTTTGGGTTACGTAGTAGATTTTCCCCACAAATTGAAATTTCACCTCCATTGCGACCCGGTACGGTTGCGCTAAAGAATGCAACCGCAATATTGCAGCCCCAACACGTATTGTGGTCCCGGTTTATTCTCGTTGAAGCCATGTTGCAGTTTCGTTGGGTTTCATTGGGACAATGATAGTACATTATTGTTATTCTTGCAATTGTGTATAATTGAAGAATAATAGAAGTGTTATGTATAAAAAATTTACTGTGAAAATTTTGACTATCTTCATGTTATATGCATAGGGTTAATATATTTTCATATCATAATGTTTAACTCAACGGTATAAACTGAGTGTATTATCCATATAATTGAAATATTGAATTTGGAACATAATTTACAATATAACTTAATGAACAGTCCAATCAGGAAATAAGCATATTATGTAGATGTTATAAGCTAATTAAATGTTGTAATTTAAATGTATGAATTAGTTCTATATTATGTTTACATTTGCATTATTTAATGAGTTAAACAATGATTGTAAAATTAAAAATGTTAATATGTATTGATGGAGTATACGGCCCAGGAACCCCCGGTCCACAGACTCCTACTACTCTATCACAGGCCCAACAAGCTCAAGAAGCGCAGGAGGCCCAAGACACAGTGGCCCAAGCTCAAAGTGGCCCACGAAGCGCCTGGGGTAGCCTTCGGCAGTATGGCCGAAGGCTTCAAAACTCGCAGAACAGCCATATTTGAGCATACGAAGCTACTGGGAAAAA